ACTTTGACACGGAAGGGCTCCCGTAGCTGATCAACTAGCATGATGTTTTCCAACTTGAGGTCTGCATGGATAATCCCCACAGCCTTCAAGTGCTTGAGCGCATGAGCAATCTGAAAAGTTAATTTCATAAAAATGTCAACAAGGTTCCACCTGTATATATTATCATACTGATTGTTAGTGTAGAGAGGAGGGTGGACAGAGGTGGACATACCTGCTGGACAATTGGGCGAATCTCTTTCAGAGGGAGAGGTCTGCAATTTCGCTCGTTCATAAAATCGAAGAGACTTTTGTCCAGGTGCTCAAACTCCAGGCAGATGTGTTCTCTGTCGGTGAAGAACTGGTACCACTGAACGATGTTTTCCTTGTCCAAGTCCAAAGATCTCAATTTCTTCAGTGTAGCCACCTGGAGATACATGGCAGACCACAGAAAGGTTGTATATTAGCTTGATGTAAACTTGTACACAAGGCAGTACATATGGATTGCAGATGCTATAATTCAAACTGGAATAAGCACACAGATTTGTTTCTTACCTCTTGATTAACCATCTTTACAGAATTGCACTGCAGTTTAATCATTTTGATGGCCACAGTCTTGTCGTCTTCCAGTCTCTTGCACTTGACAACTTTTCCAAAAGTGCCTTGTCCAATAAAAGACTGCACATGGTAGTTACAGGATCCGGAGGAAAGCAGGACTTATAGCATCCCCAACTGGGAGACAACACTGACAGAGAGAGATACAGTGACGCACCACATTGATGCAAATACAAGTTGTACATTCATATATGTGTACTATTCAAGTATCCTTTCTCTCTATTTGTTTCCCTCCTACTCTCTGTACTTAGACACTTCACTGCCTTTATGTGTGTGTTAGGTAGCTTGTAGTGTTTGTGTCATGTAGTTAGAGCAGAGCAAATGTTTTCCCTCACATGGTCCAAAAAAAAAGGGTCAGTTACAGCTCTGCTCCCAATTTACTTTAAAACGCTTCCTGATCATATTTATATTTAGATATTTCTTACACCTGCAGGTTGTGAAGAATGAGAAGTAGTGGGAAATATAAAAATACCCCTCATGCTTGTGGGAATAACTGTTTTAGTCCTAATAATAAAATGTCAATAAATGACTTATGTTTTGCCTGAAATATCACTTTGTTTTTATATTATATTCTCTTTGTCAATTATAAGACTGCAAATAATTATTATTTACATTAACAATTAAGGGGAGCATTTGCTTTATTTTCATGCCAACTACAAATGTGTAGTTTTGTCCTAAAAAACACTCCGGATCCCAAATGTATTCACTTTACGAGGACATAAAAAGCATTAAATCTTCTCGTTTAAGAGCCTGGAAATGTTTCAGAAATTGTATAAAGTCAAAGAAACAAAAACAGTTGGAGTCAATCGACAAAGCTTTTGTGAATATTGTTGTATTTACAATGAAAAAAAAATTAAAGATTGCTTTACTCTTTACAGCATTTTGAGAAGTTCAATGTTCATTATTTCTCATCAAACTTTAATAACTGGTCATTTGGGGCATAAGAAGATTCGTGTGTGTGTGTGTGTTTGTGTGCGTGCGTGCGTGTGTGTGCGCGCGCAGCTGAAGTTCTGTCGCCCCCTGACGGTGACGCAGCTCACGCAAAGCGACGTGAAGGAATTTCAGTGTACGTCAGCACGTCGGTCCATTACAGGGCAGCTCTGCAGCTGTCTCAGAGCAACAATAACAAGCTGCACTGACAACTTCACCGCGACATTATCGCCTCCTGACAGCGCCGCTCGACACCGAGTCTCACAAAATGACGCCGTCTATATAACTCTGGCCTCCGTGTCTTCGACCTCCGAGCCGAAAACCGTGTTATCCTCGCTGCTACCGCCGCGACACAAACACGGATAGTCGGCCGCAGGGGCAACAGGGCACTTCGGGGCTGCATCTGGGTCAGTGGGCCTGTCGGCGGTCGAACGGCTGCTTGTGTTTTCCCCGCAGTGTCCCCGCTGCGGTCATCGCTCTTCTGTCCACACATCGCGTCTCCCGTGTTCACCACGTTAACATGCAGGCTAACGGGGCAGGACAGGACCGAGACTCAGAGCTGTCCTGCCGAAACGGTTCACAGAACGGGGAGTCCTCCGCCGCCGGGGTAGCTCACTCCAACGGGCTGGTGTCAGTCACCAACAATGGAAACACTGTCAGCAACAACAACAACAACGGAGTGTCCGAGCAGCCTGCGGCCGACGACGACTGCAACACGTCGGACATGAAGAAGAAGAAGCGTCTGTCTCAGTCTGAGGAGGATGTCATCAGGCTGATAGGACAGCACCTCCACGACCTGGGGCTCAAGTAAGTGAAGCACCTGAGCGGCGAGGAGCCAGCTGTCAGGGGGAGTCTCAGATCCGTCCTGCTCTCTGTTGGAAAACAAACCAGAGCTGTACATCCTGATTCACTGTGAGGAAGCTGGAGGCCTCTCCTCTGCCGTACACAACCCACAGCTGTGTGTGGGACGAGATTTGAACTGTAAAATACCAAACAACACACAGCACATAGAATCTAGAAATGCAGAATACAGTCATATTTTAGAAGTTGTAGTCATTACTTGATTATCAAACTTCTTGTGCGTTACTTTTCCGTGTGTTGAATCATCAGCTGATTGACTAATGGCTTCAGCAGTGAAAGTCGTGCGTTTGTGCTCATCCCACCAGTTTTCCTCATCTCCATTTCACCGCTCATAGAAAGAAATCAGAGAACAGTGAACAAAGAGTCAAACTTGTGGCCTGAGTCATACAATGCATAGTGTCAGAGGCACGTTATTACTCAGTAGCTCAAATGACAACACTAAAGATGCTTTTGTTCCAGGCATCATATCAGATTTCTACATTCCCAGCTCACTGAATATGATGTTGATTTATTTTTGTCTCGGCTCTCTTGTGTACATTGTTGCAGTCAGACGGTGGATCTCCTGATGCAAGAGTCTGGCTGCAGACTGGAGCACCCCTCTGCCACCAAGTTTCGCAATCATGTCATGGAAGGAGAGTGGGACAAGGTGAAACCAAGTTCTGCAATCTGCAATGCATATCCATATTGTTTGAAGTCTTTGTTAACAGTAATCTGTACACTGTATTTAATATCAATTTAGTTGTCTGTGAAAGATTGTTCCTGTTTTTGAGCTCTTTCTGTCAACCAAACAAAAACATGCCCCTTTCTTTATGCAGGCGGAGAGTGACCTAAATGAGCTGAAGGGAATGATGCATTCTCCAAGTGCTATAGTGGTAAGTGGCCAGTCTAGCAGTCCTCAAAACACAGGCAGACACTTTTGTCTCTAAAGCTGTGTTGTCCATAAAAGCAAACAGCAGAAGGTGGCACTGAACATTTGTGTTAACACGACTTTTATCAAAAACTGCACTGAGGTTGAGAAGGATGAGGATGGTGAGGAGGCCTTTATCTGCTGCCAGGAGGAGATTGTTTGTAATTTTCTGTTATGTTTTATTTGAAAACTGGATTGAAATGGCTAAAACATTTGATTGCTATGTAGATGGGCCTGCAGCTGATCTGTTACGGTCTGTTATAGATTTAAGTTTAAGCAGTTTCTTCACAGGGGATAAAAGTGTGTGACTCTCTCTCTGAGGTTAGTAAAGTTTAAAACATTCTTATATGAGTTTAGATTATTCAGCAAAATGAATTGGTAAATAGCCAGTCTAGTCTTCCATGACCCTTTAAATGTGACTATGCAGGTTTTCAGGTGGAGCCAAAGAGTCTAGTGCACAAAGTAACTAATCATTATAGCGTTCTACCCAGTCAGCAGTAGTGAAGGAGGCGGATGATTAAGTTTAATAGAGGTGTTGATTAGTCTGTCAAATTCAGAGATTAATGTTTTTTAAACTTGTGGAAGAATACACAGCACTTGTAAATTTTACGGTTGTTTTTAACAGTGACATGAAACAGCACTGGCATGATTTGGTGTGACAGCCCAGCACAGCAAACTAAAACGTGGCCTTTATTAAGGGTTCCAAAATTCAAATTATCCAAGGCAGAGATAACTTATAAACATATTAGTCTGTGTGTTTATTCAGTTGAATATTAAAATCAACATCAAAATAACATCAGGGGACTTAGCACCGAGATGAGAAAGGATGGATGTAAGTTCAGCAATAAAAATGAGAGTACAAACCATGGTCACAGTGAGGGAAGGTACAGGACCATTAAACTGAACAGTCAGGATTTTAAAAATTGATGGTTCTGTCACTGGGACCGATGTGATCTTTAGATGCTGTGTGTATCTTGGACATCGGAGAATGTCCCGATAAGGGAGTGAACTGGCAGGGAGCTGGTAGATTTCCTCGGCTGTTCCTCAGTCAATGTATGGCAGTTAGGATGATCGAGAGAAGGATAATCCATCACGGCAGCTTGAGAATCCACATGATAGGACTCAGACAACATTGAGTCTGAATGAATATGGCTGTGAGGCACTCCACATGGCAGACTTTCCAATTCCTGTTGTCCATTAGCAACAGATGAAGTTCCTCAGAGGCTGGGAGTTGGTCTTAGACACTGACCATGAACCACTGACAGTTCTTTTATAAGCATGTACCAAATGTACTGAACACAATTGATATTTCAAGCATATAAAAAGAAACACTATCTTGGTCATATAAATGTTGCAGAACACACAGCCTGCAGACATTGTGATGACTATAGTCCTTCTTTGTTATTTTTGGTCTTGTCCTCACCCTGTCTTCCTTTACAGCGGATGAAGTTCCTGCTGCTGCAGCAAAAGTACCTGGAGTATCTGGAGGATGGAAAGGTCTTGGAGGCCCTGCAGGTCCTCAGAGCTGAGCTCACTCCTCTCAAGTACAACACAGAGCGTATCCACGTCCTGAGCGGGTAAATACACCAGCGACATGGGAACCTTAGCAGAAATTGTGATTTACACAATTTCCCTACACTTACAGTGTCAAATGTTGCTCTTTTGCTTTAATTTTCAAGTTAAGCTTTTTACATGTTGCAGTAGAACAAGTATGTAATCCCTAACAGATATATCGACAGCGCCCTGTTACTGTAAAAAAGTAGTTTTTCGTTAGTCATTTACTTAGCTAGAGTTTAATTTACTTCTTGGTGAATGTGAAAAGTGTCCAAAATCAGACACACCTCCCATGTTGCAACAGGTGCCTGCTTAGTCGGATTCAGTGACTATATATATGAAATGCTTTAGTACAAACAGCTGTGCATACTATGTTTACTACTACCATCAGTTTAGTGTGTGTGCACCACCTTGCTCAGTCAGCTCAGAGTTTGAAAACATTTTACAGTGAGACATAGTACAGTGCAGTATATCAAAATAAAAGGTTTGATTTTTAAAAATGCCATGGCAAACAGAAAAGTCTTCAGCACTGAGGCAGACCTGTCAGTTCAGAAATTCAATCTCACCCTAAACTGTGATTTTGAATTCAACAAACAGGGAGCTGAAATGGCTACTGAAATTTAGCAAGCTTATTTTTGATGTAGTGGTTGTGAAGGATGAGTCTTTACAGAACACGCACAACTCACCAGGCGAAGTGAATCATCTGTGTAAGCTCAGTTTGAAATAAGCCATATGTGTGTCTGACTGAGAAAATGTTTTCATGTGGTTTGAAGGTACCTGATGTGCAGTCATGCAGACGACCTGCGAGCCAAAGCAGAGTGGGAAGGCAAAGGCACAGCGTCTCGAACAAAGCTGCTGGATCGGCTCCAGAGTGAGTGCAAGCTGACTTCTTCTTGATAACATTAACACCCCCCTAGTTTGTCATCGCCATATTTATTTAGGCAGTTGTGGTTCATTAACTCTACCTAATTCAGTTGGATTATGCACACATTGTGATAATAAGAATATCTCTTAGGGAGAGAGAGATATGTGGACTATAGTATGTGCTGGATATTACACTGTAAATTGGCAGTTTATATATTTTAAATATGTGTGTTTCTGTGTGCGATTGCGTGCACACAGCCTATCTGCCTCCCTCAGTGATGCTGCCCCCCCGCCGCCTGCAGACTCTGCTGAAGCAAGCCGTTGAGCTGCAGAGGGAGCGCTGCCTTTATCACAACACCAAGCTTGACACTGGACTAGACACTGTGTCCCTGCTCCTGGACCACGCCTGTAGTCGGTAAGGACCCACATGCTCTGTACCACAACAGGGCTTGAGTTGAGGTTCCTCTTCTCTAGGGTCTCTTGGGAAAGAATTGAGAACAGAATTAAAAATCGAGGCACAGTTTTTTTTTAAATCCAAAACCCAATTTGCGGCTTTTCACCCCTCAAAAAAACAGTTGCCTTTGTGTCAGTTTGCATTACATCAAATAGTGGGAAAGTAGTTTAACATGTAGTGTATCAGTAGATCACACAAATTTAGTGAGATTCTGACATGGATCAGTTCATCACACAAATCGGCAGATATCCTCAGATCAGATCATGTAAGCCCTGCGTAATACAGTCTGGATAGGTTTTTTTGGTTGCCTCATTCAGAACTCCTTGAGAAAGTCCCAAATATATACAGAAACAGTACATATGCACATAAATGCACAGCATATTTGTGTTAATGCAAATAAACATTAACACTTAAACATCGTTCAGTACTGACAAACGTGATGCGCACAAGTGCTGAGAAAGCTGGAAATTGTTGAAATTGAAAAATGATATGTGATCGGCCGTGTGTGTCTGTGTGTGTTCCTAATCTTTAGGAAACAGTTCCCTTGCTACACCCAGCAGATTCTCACTGAACACTGCAACGAAGTCTGGTTCTGCAAATTCTCCAACGACGGCACAAAACTGGCAACTGGGTCCAAAGACACCACAGTAATCGTTTGGCACGTTGACATGGTAATCAATAATTTTCATCAGTTCCACTTTGATGCAAGAACATATCACTCAGAGAGCTGTGTGAGAGCGGATCTAACTGGATCAATGGCTGGTCTGTCTGTTGGTCAACAGGAAACCCTTCAACTGAAATTGATAAAGACTCTGGAAGGTCATGCTTATGGTGTGTCATACCTGGCATGGAGCCCTGATGACGCCTATCTGATAGCCTGTGGTCCTGATGACTGCTCCGAGCTGTGGCTGTGGAACGTACAGGTACAGCATCCCTTACACAGGTGCAAAGTAGACATACATGTCACTTCCACTCTGTAAGTAGACTGATATGTTTCCACAGACTTTCTTTTTTGAACTGCAGTACAGAGAAAGTCACAGAGAGGAACCCTGTAGTAAGAAAAAAGTCATTTTGGAAGCTATACATTTGATCAATGTACTTGAGACTGCTGAAGACTCATAATGGCTTTGGCTGAATTTCAGAAGTCATAAACAGAAGAGGACCCATCTCTTTAGTTGCATTCACTGCCAGTGTAAACAGCAGGAGTGGTTCCTGTGACCCACATTGTGCAATATCTTTACTGTAGTTGTAGTTGTGTATTTTTACCATAGTAGAGTATTGTATCAATGCAGATGCAGACCTATACTTTCTATCATAATAGAGGGATTTATCACATCTCATCTTTGTAGCTCTACCCATCATTCATATCAGTGTGATAACATTGTGCACACTGAGAGAAATCTGGGTTACTTTTTTATTTTAATTAATTTTACCCCTGCCAAGTGCCATTTATGATTGTATAGTATATTTTGCCTCTACACCAGACCATGCAACCATGGTCCTGAGTCAGTAAAGAAAGAGCTCTATCACTGCTGCTGCTGCTGCTAGGAACCAGGTTGGCAACAATGGGTTGTCTATAACTATAATTTGTGCCTTTGTATCTACTTATTTAAAACCTAATGCAACAATAATCATATAATGAATTTGTGAAGCTTTAAGCAAGCCCAACCCAGTGCCTTGCCAAGCAGTGTTGCTGCTAATGATCAATCTAGACACTTTTGTGTAAAAGGCACATGGACCCTGTTTATGCAGACACTGTATTCTCACTCCAATTAATCTTTTCAAAACCCATTCAAACCTAAAGGTCGAACAATGTTATAGAGCGTGTTATGACTTTTCATTCATGTTCCTCCCTCCTCTCTGCTCCACTCTGTAGACGGGGGAGCTGCGGACAAAGATGAGTCAGTCTCATGAAGATAGCCTGACTAGCGTGGCCTGGAATCCAGATGGCAAACGCTTCGTCACTGGCGGCCAAAGAGGCCAGTTCTACCAGTGTGTGAGTATCTTTCACAGCACACAGTGTCCTGTCAGCGCCCACAAGCTCTTGCATTACATACAGTGCATTTAAATCACTGTCATTGATTCTTAAAACATATCTACTAGAGGTGCACCAGGCAGTTGCCTACTAGTCCAGCTCATAGTTTATTTGATACGAACACTGTAATTACATGCACTTAAAACATCCTATGTAGTTTTCCTGTCTTTTGCTGAAATCCTAATTGTTCGTTTACTAGAAGCGCCTTCAATATGTAATTAAAATGACACAAGCTTCTTGAGCTGAAACTAACTGAGCTGGTAAAGGAAAAATATAAAAGAAGTGTCTGGTGTGATCCTTGTGTGGTGTATCAAGACTACTAAGGCATCTTAGGTGTGTGTATAAACAGTATGTATTTATGCAGCTCAGAGTTACCCACAGTCATTCAGGGCTCTGAAACTACAGAATGTTAGACGGAAGTTTTCAGTACAAAAAAGAAAACACTGCCCTCAAATCAGTGATGGGAGGATCTTGGATTTCCCTGCAGACCTGAGCTGTTGATCGTGTTCCTGAATTAATTATTAATTAATTATTTTCTTCTGACCCCGAGGACTTGGATGGAAACCTGCTGGACTCATGGGAGGGAGTTCGGGTGCAGTGCCTGTGGTGTCTGAATGACGGCCGGACCGTACTTGCATCCGACACCCACCAACGCATCCGAGGATACAACTTTGAAGACCTGACAGACAGAAACATGTACGTCACTTCATGACTAGGCTGAGTAACCTCACCCACTTTTCCTGCTCTTTTTGTAGATGCCTGAACAAAATGTAACCAGGTCAAAATTCAATTAAATATGATCATTTCATTTTAGGAAATTGATTCCTTTATGTTTCTTAAATGGTTCACACGACAATGGATACATGTATGTGAGTTAAATATTGTATCCTCTGTCTGGAAGCAGCAGGCCTCTCTTTACAGCAGTCTGTTGATCATGTTGTGTGTTGTATCATTCCAGAGTGCAGGAGGACCATCCCATCATGTCTTTCACTGTTTCCAAAAATGGAAGGTTAGCTCTGCTCAATGTTGCTACCCAGGTGAGCAGCTTTTTACTTCTTCACTTTTCATACCTCTACTCTTTCATTTGAATGATGACAGTAGCAGTTCTGTTAAATTTAGATTTTGAAACGTGTCCCAGTAAAATGTTTGCATTTCTAGGGAGTGCACCTATGGGACTTGCAGGACCGGGTGCTGGTGAGGAAGTACCAAGGGGTCACCCAGGGCTTCTACACCATCCACTCCTGCCTTGGAGGGCACAATGAAGACTTCATTGCCAGTGGTAGTGAAGGTAAGACAATAACATGTTTATCAGAAAGCTAAAAAGAAAAATAAGAGTGTAATTGTGACTTGTGCAGATGATTAGACACCCAACTGAGTCTGAACTTAGCAACAATACCCCTTTTCTCCTCTGGCAACTTGCAAACATTTTAGTAGCAGCTTACAGTCTCTCTGCTCTTGTTTGATAAACATTAAGCCTCTCGTGCAGTAGATTTTCAGGTCTGCTTTGGATCATTGTCCTGTTGTAGGAACCAGCCTTTGTCACATTCACTTTTCTGTTCGACTGCAGAATATTTGCTTCCAGAATCTGTGATAAAATCTGTTTCTGCAGCAGAGACCTCTCTCAGCAGAATATTCCCACCCATAATGCAGTTGGCGAGGTGCTCTGCTCCCTTTTCTCTCCAAATACACCAGCCTAAAAACTACTCATTTAAATCCTGGTCAGTTAATGAATGTGTGGGTGTTTGAAACTTTCTCTGAGAACTTAATTTAACCATTTTCTTCAAACCCATGCAGAGAGGGGTATTATGGGTAACCCTAGATCCCTAGACGTCCTTAATCCTAACAAAATGTCATGGCAAAGTTGAACTGTACGGTATAAAATAAAAAGCCAGGTTCCTCTTCTCACCTACATGCATCCTAGTCCAATCTGACACATGATCGTAAACAGGTCTTTATTTATAAAATTGGTGGAGTTGCCCTTTAAATTTGGCAGCAGCTGATGAAGTCTCTTGTCTCCTGTCAGACCACAAGGTCTACATCTGGCACCGGCGTAGTGAGCTGCCCATTGCAGAGCTCACTGGTCACACCCGCACGGTCAACTGTGTGAGCTGGAACCCCATCCTGCCTGGACTACTGGCCAGCGCATCCGATGATGGAACCGTCCGAATCTGGGGGCCCGCCCCTTTCCTGGATGTCCAGGATGCAGAAGGGCTCAATGGTATGAGAGACATTGAGAGAGAGACAGTTGCAGCCATTGAGATGCTCTGAGTCTGGTTGGACCAACAGCCAACATTCAGTCGAGTGTGTTGTGTGACTTGTGATGAGTGTGTGTGCAGCAGCAAAGCTCTCAGGATGAAATGATCTCAGTTTTTTTTTCTTGCCCTCTCAGAATGTTGCAGTATGGACAGCTGATGATCTGCTGGTGCTCTGAACCCAAGGAGCGCTAAGACTCTGTAGACACTTAAATGGATGAAGCTGGGGGGGAAGCTTTATGGTTGGACAGCTGCCTCCTGGAGGCGGAGCTACTTGTGCTCCATGTCAGGATGTCACAACTCGTCAGCTCTCAGACTCCGTCATATTACTGAGAGCAGAGCCGTTCTGGTGATAGCTGGGCTCCAGGACATCCAGAATCTGACCCATCTCCCCTTCCTCCTCCTCCTCCTGTATGGACCTATTCCCTCAGCACCATCCAGGACCACCCACCTGCTCTTATTTATTATCAGCTACATTATTTTATTTATTCTTGAGTAGTTCACGGACTAGTGCTTGGCTGTGACGTAGCAGCACCTGGTGGAGGGTGTGTGTTCTTCGTTTTGTTCAGTCCCCCGTCTGAGCTGCTCACATGAAGAAGCCTCAGCTCTTTCCCTCTCCCACCTCCTGAACCTTTGAAGAAATTTAACCTGCAGGAACATTTGAAGGCTGAAATAACCACTTGAAGAGAAGTCTTTGTTTTTTAATAAGGAACATATTTTTTCCTTCGGGCTTTCCTGCCTTCAGCCAGAGAAAGAATAGTATTTGACTAGCATGTTACACAGGACTGCACATGAAACATGATCAATGGCAACTTCATGCAGTATGTCAGTGGATGGCTGCATACAGCCGCTGATGTGTTGAAACCTGTGGAGTTCAAAGGATGATCTGTCAACCCTTACCTCTGCATATGGATTATCTGAGTGTTGTCTCTCTTGCTCTGTGTGGATCTCCTCTTTATTTTTGCTTCTGGCTTCACTATTTGCTTTCCATTTCTGTTTCAACCACTTCCTGTAGACAAACAGCACTCATTATATGAATTTATTCACATTTGGTTTCGTTGTTACATGTTCCAAGTTTCATTTACCACACCGTGTTTGTGTTTTTATTTACTATATGTGAAGCTGTAACATTTAAGAGGACACTTGATTCCTTAATGTTCCCAGTGGTGCCCCAAACCCCAGTTCAACTGTCAACTGTTTTAAAAGATAAGGCTGGTGTTATTCTCTGTATTCTGTTGTCAACAAATTCTGTAAAAAGACCAGAAGCAACAACGTGTTTCTCAAAACGTTACATCGTCCTCCCTCTGTCTGTGGCTCTGAGCTCCAACAGCTCTGTTCCTCCTGAAGATGTGAATCTTTAAAAAACACCTCAAAAACATCTGCTTGCTAGTTTCTGTCAAACATACAGGGAGATGGTGCATTTGTTAGGGTCAGAATGATAATGATATTTTCAGAATCCACATGGATTCACCTGCAGAATCTGTGGGACTCAAAATAAATAGTGTGTGACAGTGCGTACGTGGTGATGTAACAGTGTGGCTCACTGATGTGTTTTAACAGTTGAAAACAACGGAGGAGTAACGTATCAGGTCATAGAACATACACACACACACACACACACACTCACAGTGACTTGTGGTCTGCACCTGAGATTTCTTTCCAGGATGAAACGACAAATAAAGCAGCAAGAACATTTGGAGCCTTATCCTCCGAGGTCAACACACCACAGTGAGCTGAGAGGACAATAACAAATTGGGTGTTTAATCACACAATCATTGTCTAACACAGTTGTACACAAGTGTAACATAATGTTATTGTGAACTTCTACCAAGTGTTTCCTTTCAGAGAATCAAAAGAACAAACTTGCTTGATACAATATTCGATGTGATATGTGCTGTATATTTGTATGTTCTGGCATGTATTATGAGGCTGTGTACAATGGCAGACAGGATGACGTGTTTTTCAGGGTTCCCGCACCTGCTGATGTTTTTTTAAGAATCCAGCTGCTCTTCATCAGCAGCATTTTTCATCAGATTTTCTTAAGTGTACGACTGTTGTAATATAAAGCACTGACTTCACATTCACACCTATACACCAATTAACACAGGTTTTTTGACATCCATAATCCAGAGTGCAGCCACATTCACATTTCAGTGGAAATGTCCCTAAAAGACTTGTCTTCTTCCCAGTCCTGGATGAAAACTGCAGGATGGTGAGGACTGTGGGGACCCTGTTAATCTGCCCAGGCACCATCACAGCCAGCACCAGCTTCTACTCTTCTATCACAGAACATACACACACAGTGGCACTCAACAATGGATGTCACACACACACACACACACACACATTTGAGTGAATCACAGTTGTGGTGTTCTAGCTTCTGCTTCTGCTACTTTCTTGAGTTTGTTTCTTCTTAGTATTTCAGGCGTCTCTTATTTTCTCTTTTTTCTGCAAGAAGCCAAAGTAGTAACTTTTTGCTTGCAGGCAGTTTCTGCCAGGAACCATTTTACATTTTAAATGTGTTATTACAAAAAGTGATTGAACTGTTCTGTATTGTTCTGTAGGAGACATGCTATGTATGCATATTTTAAATAAAGCATTCAGGGTTTTAAAATGTGTTTGACTTCATGTCCCTTTAGGACACTAAATCAACACATAAAAACAAAACAAAAAAACAATTAAACAGCACTGGGATCGCATATATATNTATTGATATTAATTATCATGGCTTTTTTCTATCAGAGAAGATTTAAAGTGTGTAGCTCAGATGAATATTACTAATACTTTGCTTTATATGAAATGCTCTGGATGAAAATCTTTATCTAGTATAGCTGTCAAATAAATGTAGCTGTGTGAGTAGATAGATAGATGGATATTCTTTATTGTCCATAAAGGGAAATTAATTTTGTGCATGTGTGCATTAGTTTGTGCATGTGTGTGCCTGTATGAAGAGCCTGAGTGCTAGAAGAATATAAAAGTTTGTGGTAGAAATTTGAATATAAAAATAGTAGAGCAGACAATTAAGCAAATAAACCACAGACCACCAGGACTGGTTAACAATACAGGTACCTGGTTTATTTATGACTGCTGTGAAGTCCACAGTCGCCTGCAGATGCTGCTCACGTACCGTTTCCATATCTGCACTCTGTTCTTCTTCAGCTACAAGCAACCTGCAATATTGAGCAGTCCGCCTTCAACCACACGTCAACTTATATATCGAGCATCAGTAAGTCAGATGGCTGAGTCCCAGTAGTCATGTTTAAATTAAAAACACAGATCTTCTAAAGTGCAATGTCAGTTTTACTGCACTAAATGTATATTAGAAACCATTCTACAGTTGCACTAAAGCAATCAGGGTCTATTAAACATATCTGAAAGCTTCTGCTGCTTAAAGGGAAAGGTCACCCAAAAATGGAAATTACTTGAACGCACTTATTGCAAGTCACTTTGGATAAAAGCACCAGCTAAATGATATGTAATGTAATATAATTCTTCAATTGTATTGGACTTGGTTGCAACACTGTTAACCCCCATACTCCAAAAGTGTTTTGTGGAACCACCCCTCCATCAGCATAGTGATGAGTAGATAATGAGTGAGATTTCATTCGAGCCATCTCTTCAAGGACCATCAGATGTTTGGTAGACTAACTATTTGCAGTCCAGGAACGGTGTCCTCGCAGACGGCTGGATCATAGTCAGAAGTTAATACTGAAAATCAAGATACCAATAATAAAACTCCTAAAAAGGCAGTGGCTCGTCACTACAAACTCAAACTGTGGAGTCAAATGTTTACTGAAGTAAATTATGAATTCTAGTGCAGATCCCAAATGTGTTGCTTCAGTGAAGAGTTGGAATTAATGTGGTTTCAGTTTAAAGGTATTTTTCATCATTAAATATTCACGACTTATAAGAGTCAAAGAGAAGCTGCAGCCAATCACAGCTGACACTGGGAGGAGGCAACCTGGACAGCTCGCCAACATATCGCAGGGCTGACAAACAACCATTCACATTTACAAATTAAAGTCTAGCCTAACCAATCTGCATGTGTTTGGACTGTGGAAGGAATAACCTTGTTGCTGCTAAATCAGAATTATTAAGAAGTAAGAACTCTCTTTGTTTAGCTCGGCTAAATTCTAACTTGGTTAGAAAATCATTAAAAACTGCTGATTGGGAAAATTAGGAGCTACATTCCTTGGTCTTGAGCAAATGAGATAACCACAGAGCACAGTGCGATCTACTTGTAGACACTGAACTAAATTGGAATTATCTCAAGAAAAGAAAAGACAGCCCTGTTCCCTCACAGCAAAACTAAAAATCTTTTCCTTTCCACATTGTTTTTGTGGGATCACTGTGTTTTCATGTGAGGAGGACTTCAAATCTCAAAATACTGATTTTCACTTATTGTGAAAAGCCTTCTGAAGTTCAGTTCCAGCTAATGCCTTCCTCAGAACAGATGCTTCATTACAAAAGAACAGATATGAATTCAAAGTCACTTTTACTTTGAGTTCTGTCCTAGGTTTACAACCTCCATTATAGTGGAATGCACAAAAACAAGGTGAGATACATTACAGTCACATTCTGTTTCTTTTGTCTCTGAAGTCTGTTTTCCAGGATGCCGCGCCACAACTACCACTTAGTTGCTGAATGGGTCCATGCACTCTGTGTGAGGTATGGGATTCCTTACCAGGTGAAAACTTTGAGTCAAGGCTTCAGGGATGTCTACAGGTGTGTCCAAGTAATTATAGTGACGTACCTGTCATTTAATGTACGGTTGGAACTGTCTTCAGTCTGACAAAGCTCCAAAAGGAGAGATACATGTGTACATTTTATCATGACCAATTTTTCCATGAAATAAATATTCCTTTGAGGCTCTTAGATTTACTGTGGAGCATGGAGGAGTGATGAGCCGCCTGCTTGAAACGTGAAACTCAGGAGACCTCTGGCTCGATGCACATCTCCATAAATGAGGAACGTTGTTCTCCTCACTGCACCTAAAGGGAATACTGGTCTCACCTCTTCTGCATCGTGGACTGGTTGTATCTGTTTGGTTTTATGATCCAGTGAAGTGTGGGAATGTGTTCTTCACATTACAGTTAATCGTGTTTTCACTTTTCAGATTCTGTGCAGGATTTATTTTAGTACTCATACTGTACAGATCAGTACAGGTTTTATTTTAATTATGTTCTTTTTAAACACCCAAAATAGTTTCAACCTGATTAAACCTTCATTTAATTAATAGCAGAGCAAAATCCTCTCTTGCATATGTCCTTTAGTTTTTAGGTGTCAGTGTAGTTTACGCTGCAAAAAGACACATTAGTGTGACAGGATTTCATTATAACAGACGACTTCTTGCAGGATTATTGTGAGTGAATTGTGTTGTTGAATTCTGATTATAAACTATAGACTATTTATATCAATACAGACTGCTGGTCGTCAGTCACCAACCACAATGAGGACTGTACTCCTGACTACATATCAGAAGATGTGTCACATAGGCAGCAATAGGTGCGGATGTGCAGAGAGGGTTGTCCACTAACCAGGTCAGTGGTTTGATCCCTTGCAACTCCTGTCTGCATTCAAAAACATCCTGAAACCGTGAAGGTTTTGCTGACAGGTGATACAAAAGCACTGAATAGATTGTGGATGCATATAAATATGTGTGAATGGCTGAATGCTACTTGTGGTGGATACGACTGGAGATGATTTTTATAGATACACTCCATTCACCATCAAGGGCTGACACGTTTTATATTAATGTATATTATATTCAATAATATAATTTGTTTCCAGTGCAGGAACTTTTTTGCTCTGTGGCAAATTCAATAACAATGATCTTGAATTTCTTAATTTCATTTGTGCAAATGAATTTGGAAATTAAAAATAATTATTTGACTGAACAATATGTAACATAATGCATAATTAAGAGTGAGAAACATACTTTTATCATATATTTACTTTAAACCATATACCATTAATATTAAATGGTATATCATTAATTATATACAATATATTAACAGATATTAATATACTACATCATCCACTATAATTCTTTAGCATTTCACTTGTATAGTAACCAGCCACTAGGTTTCTCAAGTTTCATTTTAAGAGACTGGGACAAAAAAATTTAACAATTCAAAGGATGAAATGACTTGATCTGATTTCAGATCAGCAATGCATGAAAGATTCACAGGTCGAACCTCCACGACTCCTCTAAAGAAATGATTCTCTGCATGAGGATTTCACTGCTGCAAACTAACTGTGCAGTCACCAACCAAGAGGACAATAAAGACAAACAACTTGTCTTTCATGTTTATTTATGAAACACATTTCCCTCCCAAAAACACATTAATGAGACATGAAGTCATTGTACTGCAGTTCTCCAGGATCCCTGCACAAGTAGCTCACACAACAGCCTCTCATAGCTGAGAAGAGTCCTGACTGCTCCAACACACTGGACCAAATGAAGAGGAGAGCACACGTCCACCATCCGAGTGAGACGCCTGCTCACCCAGTGTCACATTGTCAGTATAAAAGTTGTTCAGTAAATACTGCATCAGTGCGTGACTGAAGTCGAATCCAAACTGCCACTCACATAGTAACGATACTTAACTGTTGGCAAAAACGCTCGACTGCTCAGTTCAGACAGCATTCAGCCGAGATGTGACATTTTTCAGATACAACACAAGATGAGCGCCTGGTTAGGGTGATTGTCTTTCACTCTGCCCAGAGATGAGTGTGAGTGAGTGAGTGAGTGAGTGTGTGTGTGTGTGTCTGTGGGGAGAACAGTGTTGTGTTGGTGGTCAGTGATGGAGTGTGATGCTGGAGATCATGAAAAGGCAAAGAATAGGATCAGTGTTGTCACAATCACAGTTTTCACAACACCTCAGTGTTCACATAAACCGAGGATTTTTGAGAAACCTCAGAACTTTGGGACAAGCTTCAAATCTGGTGTGTTATCGTGAAGTGGGACAATGTTGGAACTGGAGGAGTTTAGAGAAATGGAGGAGGAACAACAGCATTGGATAAGACCGACAACTACATACACAACACAAAGACAAATGCAGAAGCTAAACAATCTTTCAGAGTCCTCAAAACCAAAAACTGAATTTTGTGAAATGGAAAATCAATAGTTACATTAACTTGTTAATCAATGTTGCTGTTTCTGTTGACATGATTCACTGCTGCAAATAAAAGCTGAAGGATGAGTTAAGTCCCTAATGGCAGAATTGTGTCATGACGGCACTGAAGAGTTAAATGAATAAATATCAACTTATTATTATTTCAAAGTGAAGACACTGGGATTGTGACAACACAGATGACAGCATGAGCCTCAGTGCAACCGCAGATACTGTAAACTTTCTGGAACAGTTGATGCATTCAGTGGAGGATGTGAGGGGCAACACAGAAAAACCTGACTTTTGGAATTTGACGGCTTTGGAATCTGAGAGCTCGCCGAGTGCTTCAGTCGTTGATCAGAGCCAAGATCATGCTGGAAAAACAAGGCGGGAAAGTGTTAATACAAACAGACCATTATTATACAGACGCCAGCATGTCATTCCATGTCAGTGTGTCTGCAGTGCTGATGATCCCACCTGTACAGATAAATGAAGAAGCAGAGCAGGTGGTAACCCAGTTTGATCATGGCCTCCTTCATGTGGGACTTGAGCTGACCTCGGTTGTGGATCTCAGTGGGGTCAAACACGCCCATGTTTCCCATCGGAACCTTCACGTGCCTGCAGGGACGAGACGAGCATTAACCAAGGAGCCCGACTGCACCATAAACCCTGTCCTCTTACCTCAAGTAAACCAAATGTGTGTGATATGATCCATTTTCAGACATGACTTCTGGAAAATCAGACGCGTTCACAACAACACAGACATTTCTGGAGGGTTCGGGTCATGACGTATAAATTCTGCTGCAGAAATCATGTGATTTTGTTGACAGCACATTGGCACCTTATCACCAAAAGCTCCCTTAACACCTTCGTCAGTGTCTTCTTCTGTGTGTGACCGCTTTTCTGAGATAACTGAGATAACTCTTTTTTGTGTTTTTCATTCTGCTGACATTTTACGAGGGGGCTGGCCGGAGAAACTCCCCGGAAAGTCTGGAGGCTCTTGCACTGACATTTACATTCACACATACAGCCACTCTAGAGAATGTCAAGAGAATCTCCGGAGGTTAGCGCATACCTGAAAGCAGCTTTGGATCATATAATACCTTCACCGTCTATGTCATAGTGTGTGTTGCAGAATCAAGCCATGCTCAGTGCCTTCAATGGCCCATTTCAGCCAGAGACAATGAATGAGTTCCTATGGTAAAATATACATGACCATCTCACAATATACTTGTGTTTTCATATTACCCAATGCTGCAGGAGAGTCTGTGTTATTACAGCACCAGTAGAAACAGACCTGTAAATGTTCCAGGCAGCTACAGGCAGGTTGAGGAGGAAGATGAACCAGTGCATGGACACCAACATCAGCATCGTGGAGAGACACTGGCTAACCATCTCTGGAATTACCCACTGGAACACAACATATCAAACACACAAACATCAGAAACAATACAGTCAAGCACTAATATTCTCACTACAGCAGCTGTTGAAAATATATGATAGTGTGTGTGTGTGTGTGTGTGTGAATCAGTAATGATCCAGACTACCATGACTTACTTTGTTCAGCTTGGAACAGCAGGCTCTGGCGTTGATGTAGTCACATTCTAGATCAGACAGGGTGATAATCTGAGCCGTCAGTTAAGGGAAAACATGATGTAGCTTTTCATTCAGCTTCTAACGGCTCCGACCGACCGACATAACAAACAGATCACAGACAAATGACACAAGCAGGCATGGGCACACAGGAGGACCGACTTCTTCACGTGCTTCTGGTGACTGGTTTTGGTTGCCTGCGCACAAACGTTTGATGCATGTTTCACAACATGCCTGAAAAAGTCTTTCTCTTCTGAATGTGACACAAGAGAGAGGTCTTAGAGAGTTTACAGTCTCTACGCAAATATTAAAATGCCTTCATCCCATTCTCAACCTTCACTTCTTCTGTCGAGATAATCGCTGCTTGTATTAGTCAGGTTCATGTTCTGTACTGTAGTCAATAAAGTTGTAAAAGGCAAACACGGCCACTGACTTAGATCAATGTTCAATAGTCCAGTGTTTCAATTCAATTGGTATTGCACACCTTTCAAAGTTATGGAGAAACCCAACAGTTCACACAGTGAGCAGCACTTGGCGACCGTGGAGAGAAAAAAAACTCTTTTAACAGGAAGAAACCTTTAGAACCAGACTCAGTGTGAGGGAACATCTGCCTCAACTGGAGAGGAGAGGTGGATGGAAAAGAGGTGAGAGGAGAGAGGGAGAGAGAGAGAGAAGGTGATGGAAGAGATTTAGAGATGTAATTACATTAATAATGACAGCAGCACCAGTTATTATTAATGATCATAATAATAATAACAACAATAATTACAGTAGTTGTTGAGTAGTGAGAGAGAGAGATAGAGAGAGAGAGAGATAAAGAGATGAAAAGACAAGTTCACAGAGACAAAGGTAGACAGAGATACAGAGACATTGAGGGAGAGATGGAGAGAAATACAGAGAGAGAGATATTAGAGACAAAGCAATACAAAGAGAAATACACAGAGACAAAAGTAGCGATGGAGAGGAAGAAATAAAGAGTGAAAGAGAAATATAGAGCTATATATATATATATATATATATAGAGAGAGAGAGAGAAATATAGAGCACGATAGAGAGTGACAGAGAGAAACAGATAGATAGAGACAGAGAGAAATAGATAGTCATATAGATAAATGTAAATAGACAGGCAGGCAGACAGACAGACAGACATACAGATAGATAGATAGATAGATAGGTAGGTAGGTAGGTAGATAGACACACACACAGACAGACAGACAGACAGACAGACAGACAGACAGACAGACAGGTTGGTGTCTCTGTGCTGACTCACTGTCCTCCTGACCTGTAGGACCGTGTTGTTGTTACTACACCTCCACCACCAGGAAACACTTCATCCCTTCCCACCGGCCTCACCGACCCCCGGCCCGCGCGGCTCCGCCTGTCCCCGCTCATATCAACCGACCCGCTGCACAGACACCAGGCACCGCACAGACAAGAAGGATACAAAGTAAACCGAGAGGAAAATCAGGGCACAGCAGTCAACGAGCGACAGAATGAACACTGCCGCCTCCATTTTCTTCTTCCGTCACTGACTCGCTCTGTCCGGAGGGCCCGAGACGCTGAGTTGCTCAGGGCGGTGCTGCCCCCTGGTGGACGGGAAGGAACACAGCCACTGCCTAGAAATCAGACTGTACATAAAAGGTGAAATAGAAACACACCTCAGAAGTGTCATCTGTTATCATCTGCACTAACATGACGGTCCAGGTGGGAGAGATGATGGGATGGTTGGGAATCAGTCAGCTGGGACCAGGGGCAGGAGATAGATTCGATGCACCCCCACACTCAGGTGGAGTTGTGTGTTTGTAACCAGAGGAAATCTGAGATTGTTATTAATGCCTTCATTTCCTCTCGTTTTGATCAGTGCAACCTCTTCACCTGCCGGAGCCAACGGAGTCTGCATAGATTACAAGCTCGTCCAAAACGCAGCAGCCAGACTCTTTGTTAAATCTGCTAAAAGAGAGCATGTTAGTTGATTATGAGATTTAAATTTGTAACTTTTAAGGCCTGCTCCGAACTCGTACCTAACTACATTTTGGATCTTTTGACACCATATGTGCCCGTTCGTAACCTGAGGTCCTCAGTGAAGGCCCTGCTCACCGTCCCACAGACCAGGCTGAGGACCAGAGGAGACGGGGGCCTCCTCTGTCAGGGCTCCCACTCTGTGGATCAATCTCCCTGAGGAGAATTTCTGGTAAACTCCTTATCATCTTGTAAATCTCTACTAAAGAATTATTAATAAACTGTTTATTTAACTTTACAAGCGAGAAGGAGGAAGACAAGACAATGACCAAACAATACAAGAATAACTGGAACAGTGAGAACAGGACACTTGACAGAATGGAATGACAAAGATATGTGTGAAGTGCATTCTGGTAATCAGGAACAATAACACTCCAGTATGTCATTTCCTTCTCTAACTAAATCTAGTCAACAGTACCTTTACTGTAAGTCATCATGTGACTGGAATCATATGAGTTTATTGGGTGATGTCACAGAAAGGGGCGGGGCAAATATCAATCAGAATTCCCTTGGAATTGATTAACAATTTTTAAATGGCATCCTGTAGGATTCCGAAAAGATTAATATTAAGGATATAAATATGCCTTTTATTTTAAAATGTCTCCAATTGTTATCCAATTTGTGCTGATTCAAGCAACAAAATATGCACTGAGTTGTTTAAAATGTGCTTTAGTTAGTTAGTAAACATGATTGACAATGTGGAACAGCATGCTTTGGGTAATCTGGGACAGTCACTGAATTCTCTAAATGGGGAAATGTGCATTAATGGACTTCATAGAGTAAAAAAAGAGAAATTACAGTGATGCAGTTTAATGTCTCCAGTGTCAGACAGGAGTTGATGGTAAATACAGTTTGTCCCTGTCTGTTTAAACTGATTGTCTGGTTAGTTAACTAGCTCTTAATCAGTCAGCTCTCTAGGACAGAGATGATCCAAAAAGCTCAGAAGAGTGTGTCCTGTGGTCTGCAGCCACTGGTTTCACCAAAAGTGTGGAGAAGACAATGGGCTGATGGATGATGATGAGTCTTTCACCTGCAAAGACTCTTTGTTCCCTGAGTCGCCACAATAGAATGACAAATTACTGATTAATCTGTTGTTGTTATTGTTGCTTTAATTGACTGAATTTACTAGATTTTTTAAAAGTTTGATGCACCTTTAAATGAAGGTTTCAAATTAATAAATAGTTTCTTTATTTAAGATATGGTTCTTTATGAAAAAATATGACTTTTACTTGTTATTATAGCTTATAATTAATTTTATTGATTTGTCATTTTTTCATAATACTAGTCATATTTAGCCTGACAAGCATAAAGCAAGATGAATTAGGTTTGTTTTAAAGCCTAATATAAGTGTCCCAGATTACAAAGTGACCTGTCCCAGATCATCAAAGCATTTTAGCTGTGTCATATCTCTTCTGAGTATGAGTATGACATCTCCATTCTTTTTGCTTGTGTAGTTAGAAAACATCTTAAGGATTACAGAAAGGTATAACATGTTGATCTAATGTGTAAATCACAGAAGTCTAAATTGCAAAAAATGTCCCAGATTACCCAAATTCACCCTAGATCTAAAAATAATCCCGACAATAAACACACACAACTTTTTTTTTTATTTGATATAGTTTTTACTTTAACATCCAATGCTCTATTGCTGTGTGATCTTCAAATTAATTAAATTATTACTTATTGTTTGCTTTCAATTTTTCATTTTTAACGTGTAAAACACCTTGTAACTGTGTTTTGAAAGGTGCTATATAAATAAATAGATAAATGAACTTACTTGCCACTGTCTTTTTCTGAGTATTCAAACTATTAACTGTTCTTCACCCTCAACAATAATTTGAATGCTGGATTTGTCTAGTTGAAGCACCTCTAACGTGGGGGTTTGATGTTTGTCTGTGTTCTATGATCATAAACTGATGCATTTAGTTTTTTACACAACACAGCATCTAATAATGTGCTGTGGGCTGCAACATGCGTAGGCGCGACCGCAGATATGATGAAAGCTGCAGAACAATGACTTCCTCGCTGTCAGTCATGAAGTGGGCAGGGCTGCAGGGGAGAATGTGAGAAGAGAAAAGTGTGAATGAGGAAGCAAGAGAGACTTTTCTTTTAGCCTTGGGAAGATGCTTAAAGAGGAGAGTATCACTCTGCCAGAGGTGAAAAACAAGTGAGAGCTCGGACAGCAAACACAGAGGACAGTGATATGGCCTGGGCTGTTCTTGTGATCTACTTACATATCCAAGTTTTCCTTATTATTATGGAAACAGGACATGCTACTGAAAATACTACTGGGATGATGGAAACTACAGCTGCAGGAGATATCATCATCGGGGGAATCTTTCCCTTACGTACGGATGTACAGAAAAGGATATCGTTTGCACCAGAACCCCAGCCATGTGGCAGGTAAGAGCATCCAGATTAATAAAATCAATGATATTCATCCAAACATTTCTTTCTCAAAAATATTATCAGATTTTAAGTAGTAAAAGCATATGTCAAAATCATGCCATAACAAATGAATGTACCAATTATGCAACTGCAAATGTATTCAAAGTGTAAACGTTGTCAATGTGTATATATTAATATTAATAGTAATATTGATGTAATTGTAATGTGGAGTATTATCAGAAACAGCAAAACAATTACAGTACACTAAAACAGTCTGCATTGTACTTGTACTATCATATAGATGTGGTGGAATAAAAAGTATATATCGTGAAAAAATAGAAAGAAGAAATTGTATTGTGAGATGGAAACTCTCAAGTGAAGTAAGACAACAAATACATATTAATAAATGTACAATGAGTTTCTCACTGATTTTCTTCACAGAGACGATTCCACATTTCCTTATTGTGTGGGCTAGATTCATTTGATGAAGAAAAAAAACCTGCGGGGACATTGGATAATTCAACCTTTGTCTCACATGTAGAGATTTCAAGTAAAAGAAATAGATTTTCAGTTTTAGGATTATTTGTATTTGTCACACAGCTATTTGTTCTCTGTCCTCTTGTCCTTCATAGTCTCCATTCTGTCACATGCACCCTGTATTTATTGTTGGAATAACAAATGTATTATTCTCACAGTTCTGACAAAAGAGGCCTGATTAAGGCTCTGGCTATGATCAATGCAATCGAGGTCATGAATAACTCCTCTCGGCTCAAGGCTCTGAACGTCACTCTGGGTTACCGAATCTTGGACTCCTGCACTGATCCCAACACAGCTCTGAGAGTCATAGGAGACTTCATGCAGCGGGGCCACTGCTACACAGAGAGCAACAACTCCGCCTGTGCACAGCCAGTCATGGCTGTTATAGGTGGCTCTCTCTCTGAAATATCCATTACCATCGCTAGGCAACTGACACTCCAGATGATTCCTCAAGTAAGTTGTCAGAAACTCAAATTCTGCGGACCTTCTGAGGCAGCACTGACACATATTGCGGCGACTGTTAAAGGAAGCAGCAGAACAGGTTCCGAGTGGCAGCTGATAAACATCAGCAGCCAAACCTTTTATTATCATAAGATGATTTGCACACGGCAGGGCATTCAAAGTGAGGAGCCACAGATAAAGATCTACCCACTGTCAATGGCGATCCTGAAAACCCATGTAAACCAGACTGTACAATTTCAGTTCGGCCACCAAAAACACTGTGTCTTTGTTGGGTCAAGTAGACTGCGTCCTCTGAAGGATGCAGCCCCTGAATTGAGACACTTATGCATCTTCACCTGTTTGCTGTGAAAGAAACAGGTGAAGCAGTTTTGTGCATTACTAAACAAAACTATGGTCTGTTCATACGTGAAAGTCTGAAAAATTACACGTATGAACAGGCACAAACAGTTTATCAGAAGTTGCAACTCAAAATCTGAGTATGGTACATATGACTTTACATTACATATAATTTAGCTGAAGCATTTATCCAAAGCGACTTCCAATAAGTGCATGCATTCAACCATAAAAATCACATCATCTTTTTTTCTCTCCAGATCAGCTATTCATCAAGTGCTGTCATTCTGAGTGATAAAGTCCGCTTCCCTGCGTTTTTGAGGACTGTTCCTAATGATAAACATCAGACAGCTGGCATGGTCAGTCTGCTCCACACCTACGGCTGGAACTGGGTGGGAATAGTTATCACAGATGGAGATTATGGCCGATCAGCTCTGGACAACTTTGTGTCCCAGGCCTCTAAAATCGGGATCTGTGTGTCTTTCAAACTGATTCTTCCTCAGTTTCAGACCAGTAAAGAATTACTCTCTGCTATCGAGCACACTGCCACAACCATTCTCAACAATCCCAAGGTGCAGGTCATTGTGTCATTTGCCAAGTCAAATCAAATGAAGCATCTTTTCCAGAAGCTGAAGAATCAGACACTGAGAGCAGGAAAGAGCATGGAGTCAATGAGAAGAGTGTGGGTGGCCAGTGACAGCTGGTCCTCCAGCAAATCTGTGACAGAAAACATGACTCTGAGGGACATAGGACAAGTTGTGGGCTTCACCTTCAAGAGTGGAGACGGGTCATCACTTGGGAACTATCTGAACAAGCTGGAGGCAGCTGGACATGAGTATACAGGGAATAACAGCTTCTTGACGAAGTTCTCTGTGCTGCAAAATACCACGGAAGTTATGAAAACTCTCAGGGAACACATTCATGCCCCCACTATCTTCAGTACTGAGATGGCTGTCAGCGCCATTACTGAGACTGTGATTTCTGTCTGCGGGAGCAGAGACTGCAAAACGCCAGGCAAAATGCAACCCTGGGAGGTGTGTGTGTGTGTGTGTGTGTGTGTGTGTGTGCTCTTGTGTTGCATTGCATTGACAGGGTCCACATGGGTTAATTCCAGTCTGAGGATGAGGGTTTAGATCTGTAGGCAATAAGGATTTAGGGTAAAATTAGATTCACATAACAGCCATGGATTTTTTTTTGTCTGTCAGATCCTTAAGACAATTAATATGATATCTCGGCATAGTAACCAGAAATACAGGGTTTAGACTATGTTCAGGCTGTTTCTTAAACCTCTTGAACTGTTGGTACAAACCAAGCCACTTCTTCTTTTATATATATATAGTTCCACCTGCACTTAATTTGACTGAAGGCTTAACGCAAATGTATGCATCCAGTGGATCCAGAAGGTATATATGTAGAAAAACATGGCTGTGGAGGCACCCTGAGGTCTCTGGCTCCGCTGCTCTTTACCAACTCGGCAAGAGGCCTGAGTTGAGCTGAAGTGCAACAAGTGAGCAGCAGGCCCCACAGACAAAGGGGTAGGAGGTGGACTCTGCACAGTGCTATTTTTCATTGTCACATCAAGATAGTGTAGTTTAGACTTTTCCAAAGTACTGGGCTGATAATGAAATGTCTCATATCCTGTAGATACTGAAAGCTCTGCAGGAGAGAGAGTTTAAACTTGGAGGAAAAACCTACAAGTTTGACAAGAAAGGTGACATCAGCCTGGGCTACGACGTGACAATGTGGTGGTCGGATGGAGAAACAATCAAAATCAGTGATGTTGTGGCTGAATACCACCCACACACCAACAACTTCACTTACACCGACCATATCAACACCCAGTATTTCCAGGACCTGAAGGTAGAACCTAATTCTACACACTCACAGTCACACAAACAATACAGCAAAATGGGTTTACTGAAAACATGGAGACCATTGAAGCTGACTAAAAATATACCATTTTGGTTTGAATATACAAAAAGCTGTGTAGAAATCAGGAAAAATAAAATACAGTTAATATAAAATAATGAAATGTGACGCATCTGTCATCATGACGTCTCTCTGCTTTCTTCAGAAGATCATCTCCAAGTGCTCCAATAGCTGCGTCCCTGGAGAGTTCAAAAAAACAGCTGAAGGTCAACACACCTGTTGTTATGAGTGCATCAACTGTACTGAGAACTACTACTCAAATAAAACAGGTATGTCACCCCTGCTCACACTGGATTCACTAGATACACATACTTCATACAAATGCACAGTCAATAAAAGCTGTCAAGGGAGGTGTGTGCTTACAAGTACAGAAACACAGGTGTGATCACATCCAAGGAGCATAGAGGGAGGACTTTGATTCCATTCTCACGCACTTCCTTTTGTGACTAATGCCCTGGCTTACAAATGTCTGTCACCACAGTAAATGATATNGTTTTCTTTGTCCATTTTCTTAAATTGAATAATATTCAAGCAACTTGCTACACAGTCTGTATTTTCTGGCTCTCCAAATGAAAAACCAAACAAGATAAACATGAAAAACACAATTATTTATTCGACCAGATGTAGACAGAGACACGCTGAGAGGGAAAATCACTGTAGACACAGTTCATATATGTGTGATCGCACTAGAGTCTGAGGGCAGACAGGAAGCTGCCACTTGTAGGGGTGAATGGTTGTGTTTCCATACAGTATATATCAAGTCCAGTCTTGAATTAGAGGGTGTGGCAGGAACATGGAGGCAGTGCAGGAAGATCTCAATGAGGCGTCTTCTCCATTCATCCAGGAAACAGCAGCTTCTTCCAAATCTGACAGACGAGGAGCAAACACAGTGATTAGACACTGATCATGATGGGAATGATGACAGGAGGGAAATAATATATAAAAAATTAAAAACAGAGTTTACAAGGTGCTTTGACAGCAAAACAAGAAAAGTAAATAGAAGAGAAATAACAATTTGCAGAATGTGACAAGGAGGCCAGACAAGCACGTTTAGCTGGTTAGTGTTGTAATTAAATGAATAGGTATACAGCAGTGTCACGTGGAAGCTTAAACACATAAAAGCAGAAATATGACATATAATGAAAATAAATGAACACGTAAAATAAAAGGTGAAAAGAAAACGACAGAAACACAACAGCACATGAAAGCAAGTCTATAAAATGGGTTTTAAGATGTGTAGTTTATCAGTAATTTATCAGTTTATCAGTAATCTACTGTTGCCTTAGAATGTAGCTGCATCCACCTTTTTCTGCGTTTGTCTTCCGAGTAAAACTAATTAATCCGAATTACAGAGCTCTTATTTTGAATTGTTTTATGTATGACAGCTTTATTTCCTTAACATTAATCTTGTCAGATTCCGATGTCATTGACCTCATCGTGCAATTCTAAGGGGGGGGCCTCTGATTGACACTTGCGCTGCCCCCCATGAAATCATGTGATTTTAGTAGCATGATGTCCATGGTAACATATAGTAAAAGTCCTGTTGACTAGATTTTGTTAGAACAACAAATAAACAGATTGAATCTTAGGTGTCCCACATTACCCAAAGTCCCAAATAACCTGAATTCATTGATGATTCTAAAAAGGATTCTGATTCACACTGCAGTATAAACAGAGCACTGGTGTGTCCGGTTTCTGCATCCGTACTGGAGTGTATCCAACACATCACTGTGTATACGATCGCGTGTCATCTTCATACTGCATGACAACAAAGGAGCAAACAAGATGTCAGGTTGATCCTGTGACCAATTGGAGAGTGTTACCTGCAGAGCAGAGACTTTCAGGAGGCAGGGACAGTGATTGCTGGAGTCAATTTAGAGCCAGGTTCCTCTGGTCTGAAGCAAGAAGAGCTCCTGATTAGACCTATCCATATAATCAGTTTTTCAAACAAGTTACCACAATGGAAAGGCTCCGTTCTCTCCTTTCAACATGGACACTGTTCACCATAATATACTGAAAGAACAATACAAAATAAATGAAATAAAACCTTGTCCCTTACAGAAATACTAAAGGCCACAAAGTTTGAGCTGATGTGACACTTGTTACACTAGCTAAGATGTTCCTTCCCATGCAGTCAATCTTCATGTGACTGAATCTAACTGGCAAAAACTTGATAATGATATGAATGCCTGAGAAGTCCGTGCTGCTTCACTGGTTATGCTCTTGCTTGTGTTGACCCAGAGTCAAGTTAGCTGAAACACCAGGATGGGCGTAGGATTCTGTGGAATTTGATAGGATCTTTTAATCTGGACCTGTGCTTGTGCTCCTCCATCCCTGTAGATATGGACCAGTGTCTGAGCTGTGACACAAACAGAGAGTGGTCGGCAGAGGGCAGCTCCAGCTGCACCCTCAAAGAAGTGGTCTACTTCTCCTGGCAGGACAAATATGCTGTGGTGCTCCTGACCTTTTCTGCCCTGGGCATCCTCCTGGCTGTGATCGTGTCTGCTCTGTTTTTACATCAGCGTGAAACTCCTGTGGTGAAAGCTGCCGGAGGGCCAGTGAGCCAGGTCATCCTATTCTCTCTGGTCATCAGTTACATCAGCGCCATGCTGTTTGTCGGTCGGCCCAACCATTTCCAGTGTAAGGCTCGACAGGTGCTCTTCGGTATTAGCTTCACTCTGTGCGTCTCTTGCATCCTGGTCAAGACCCTGCAGATCCTGCTGGCCTTCCAGTTCAACCCTGCACTGCAGGGGGTTCTGCGGAGGTTCTTCAAGCCTTACATCATCGTCATCTTCTGTGTGGCCTTGCAGGTGATTACTTGTATCTGCTGGCTGGTCATGAAAAGCCCATATCATAAAACCAACCCGCAACCAACCACTTTGCTGGAGGAGTGTAACGAGGGCTCATATTTGGCCTTCGGTGTGATGTTGGGCTACATAGCTCTCCTAGCGTTTGTGTGTTTCATCTGTGCCTTCAAAGGTCGCAAACTTCCAGAGTTCTACAATGAGGCAAAGTTCATCACCTTCAGTATGCTGCTCTACCTTATCTCCTGGATGCTCTTTGTTCCTGTCTACATTACCACCTCAGGAGTTTACCTATCGGCTGTGGAGATGGTGGTCATTCTCATCTCCAACTACGGCATCTTCAGCTGTCATTTCTTACCAAAGTGCTACATTATCATTTTCAAGAAGGAGCAAAACACCATGAATGCTTTCAGAAAGAATGTATATGACTATTCCAGCAGAACCTCTAATTCTATCTCCATATCTGAGAGTTCAATGTCAGAGAAACAGTCTAGCGTTCAGGACTTCATCTGTGCTCTGTCATACTCCGTTCCTGCAGATGGTCTCCTTGAACCTGGAGTAGTGACAAACTGCAGAGAGGGAACAAGCCACACAAGTTTACACAGAAGCCCAGCAACAAAACACTCTTTCAGAAGAAGCAGCATATAACTGTCATTATTTAAAATGGGTTGTGAGGAGGGATGCAACTATTTGACATTTCTTTTTCTGTCCTGATAGTGAAACTGATTCCTGGGCTTTGGTTATGGGCCAACAAAGAATACAAATGTTTAATACATCACCTGTATGCCTAATTGTGTGAAAGACACAGGAGGATTCTTCAAGTGTACGGCAACATCAGGCGTGACTTGAACATTGATTTCCTAACTTTGCAAAACAAAATGTAGGGTGAAATCTGGTAAATTTGGCAGTTTTGATTTCTACGACTTATTCCGATATGTGTTTTCACATCCGATCAAAAAATTATACCTTTCTGAAAGCCTCAAAATGTTTTCCTAACCACATAAAAAGAAATAATTGCAATATCATACACAGAGGAGACAAATTCTGCCTGAAATTGATGATATGGGACAGGTCACCATGTAATCTGGGACACTTGTATTAGGCTTTAAAAAATCCCCTTTCTTTTTGCTTGTCAAGCTCAATATTATCTATTTTAAAAAGCAATATGAAAAAGGGACTAAAAAATGAATAAGAAAATGTATATTATTCATAGAAATGTCAATAATCCTTAATAACATGAAAACATAATGTTTATAAAGAACCCTAGCCTGTGAAAGGTGTATCACATTTTTAAAACATCAATTAAACTCAGTAACTCAGTCGGTAATTTGTCATTCTATTGACGCCACTCAGGGAACAAAGAGTCCTTGCAGGTGAAAGACTCATCATCATCCATCAGCCCATTGTTTGGTGAAACCAGTGGCTGCAGACCACAGGACACACTCTTCTGAGCTTTTTAGATCATCTCTGTCCTAGAGAGCTGACTGATTAAGGGCTAGTTAACTAACCAGACAATCACTTTAAACAGACAGGGACAAACTGTATTTACCATCAACTCCTGCCTGACACTGGAGACCATATACTACATCTCTGTTGTTAATGCACATTTCCCCATTTAGAGAAGTGACTGTCCCAGATTACCCAAAGCATGCTGTCCCACATTGTCAATCGTGTTTGATAAAGTAAGACAACTACAAAATGTTTGAAAAAAAAACCTAGAACACATTTTTAACAATGTATATTTATTGCTTGAATACATCACAAACATAATCTATCTATGACAGATGTATATCCTCAACATTTAACACGATCTGCAGTGGTTATTCAATAAGAATTAAGTTTATACTAAATAAGGTTTGTACATAATTCTTAAGTCTAAATATTTTTTCCAATTATAGGCTCATCATTTGAATTAAGGGCTTTTAAAAGGGATTTGTAACTCATCATCTTGGTATTTCATTTATGAGTGCTTCTGCGATGTTAATGCTAAACTGGTGCACTGGTGAAATAAAACAGACTGTGTTTAACAACGAAGGACGAAGACTGTGAATAACACAGACTGGCCCATAACTTGTTTTTTTGCTTTTGGATTTTTCTGTCAGGAGTGGCCAAAGCTCAACAGTCCCCTTAAATTAGGGTCTGAGCGGAAAATCTTCTGCTGTGTTGTTCATGTGTGAAAGGCAAACTCTGTTTGTCTTTTGTTTTATTTGTTATTTTAAATCAAGATCCATGCATTACTCTTTGGGAAATCAGTTGAAAAGTCAAACAATGTAGGTCAAACAATATATATATATATATATATATATATTTATGTTTTGAACCATCAATAAGAAAATAAGCTTTAAAGGGCCACTGCACTAGTCTTGAGAGGATTTAACCATAATGACCAGCATTAACCGTGTCTGTGTGTTGGGTGATTAACTCTCACTCAGGGGTTTTTTCTGTGACGAGGTTGTGAGGATGTTTACTAATGATGAAGAACTAACAACTGTCTAGTCACACAGTCTAGACAAAGACATTACCATTTCTTTGGGCAAGATATTGAGCAAATTGACCCTGATGGCTGTGCTGTCAGTGAGTGAATGGATGATTGATAGAGAAGCGTTATATATAGAAGCACCATCTAGTGTGAAGGGCTTTGAGTGGACATCAAGACTAGAAAAGAACAATATAATGCAGCCTGTTAACATTGCATAAATGCTTAACATTGTTGCATCACTTTTAAGGGCAGGCTCTGCCAAAAATATTTTATAGATAATAGATTTTTGGGATGTGATTTGTGAGATATGTAATTTTGTAATGAAAACACCTAAATAAAATACTGTACTTATTACATTTAGCACTCTTTACACTACTAACAACTCAAAAGCAATTTAAGATTAGCCTGAAGGCAGGAACCTTTTACAGGCAGCCAGAGGTGAGGGGGAGAACTTGGCAGCCAAACAGGTTCCTCCACTTTGTGAATGCATGCTTGACTGAGCAGACTGAAAAGCTCTTATGATAACCCTTAAAACGTCTCAGAAATCACTTGGTGTTAAGCATTATCAGGAGTTTATACAATTTAATTTGAAGCAGCTGGGGGGGAAAAGATGAGATTAAATACTTAAATTGCGCTGGAGGAATAAAAATTAGTTAAGCTTTGGATTGTTCTGGACTGTTCCATGTTGCAGTTGCCTGAAAACTGGATTTACCGAGCTCAGCAAAAACAGTTGGCACCTGCTGTGTGATCCAATCATTTGATGGTGTTTGATGGGAACCCACATTAAAAGACAGCAGCGAACAAATGAATTCCATTAACGTGATGCCTTCACACACAGTGATAGTCCTCATGCCAGTTTATAGAGGCAGTGTATAGACAGGCATTCTGGATGTATATAACAGATGCAGAAAGCACAGCTCTGTTATTTACACAGACCAGGTATTTGATATTCTCATGGCTGCGTCTGAGTTTCATGTCAAACTGCTTCAAAACCACAGTGAGTGACTTCATCCTCTGCAAGATCTGTTTCATCCGTTTTATGTTTGAAGATTATTTAAACCGCCACCGCAGTTATGTGATGGTTTCAGAGACAAAACAAAGCCACAATTGATATTAACTGCTACACAAATCAAAAGGACATTGAAAGTATTGCACAAAATGAAGTGATCAGTCAGAGAAGGTGAAAGGGTTCAGGTGCTGCTCGTCATCAGGTTTCACAGTGAAAATCCCCTGCTATGGAATCTCATCCCTCTGGTTGTGCAACATAAATTAAGATGATAAGAGGAAACAGGAGGAAATGACAAAACATAACACATCAGAGTGCACAACTTGGCCTTAATCCATCTTAGTGTGTCAGCGCTTTACAGTAGAGTTTTTGGTATTCACACACACACACACATTCATACAGCAGTTTCTGTATGAGAAGGGGCAATTTTGGTGTTCAGTATCTTGCCCAAGGACTCTTCAGCATGCAGTATGGGGAAGACAGGGGTTGAACCATTGTCCTTCTAGTTCTGCTCTACCCCCTAAGCCAAAACCGCCCCACTGGATGACTGTTTTTGAGAAACAGAAAGTAGTGTTGTGAAAACTGGACAACTGTAAGACACTGGATCCCCCGTAGAACATTGTTTCGTGACTGCAGGGAAAGTACGAGCCAAGGAGCTCAACAGAAACTGGAAACTGGCACAGCTGTGAGGAATGTAACCTGCTCTGAGGAAATAACGCCACACTGTAGTGGACATGTTTGAGCTGACATTCCACAGTCTTGTCATCCATTCTTTCCAACACTTCAGAATTTAGCGAGTTTAAATTATGGCCTTATTAACAGCCTGATCTGTATTTCATTGTTTCATGTGACACGTGTAGAGATGTGAGAAGACTAAACATCCTAAAGTACTTCCAAGAATTTTCATGGTTTAATGTTTATTAAGTATTTGTATTATTTTATATGTCCTTCAGGCTCATGATTATATTTAGACATTAAACATCCACTCTCCCATAATTTGAGTTCAGGTGTGTGTTTAGTTTTCTAAATCAAATATACTGGGCACTGACTGACCAGTCATGATGAGGTGTTTTCTTGCCTGGGTAAGACGATTGTGTTTCCGACAAGAGAAATAAAAGTTTTACTCACCATTAGGCCCCTGATTTGTTTGAATTTAAATACATTAGTGCTATTGGGTTTGCTGTGTGGCGGATTTGGGAGTGGACCGGTAGTACAGTCTCTACTGCTATATCTCCAGCCTGGTGAATTACAGCTTGGTTTTGTAGTCGAGTGTTTCTTGCTCACCTGCTACACTTAAGGAGCTACATTGAGTGCATTATGCTCTCCACTTGCAATTCTTGCTTGCTCCCTATCAGCCCAGAGGGAGGTAATAACAGATGCCCATCAACAGGCACTGACAGTTTATGCTAAACTTTTGGGTTCTTAACAATTTATA